CTGACAGGGATCCTCCCGCGCCCTGACAGGGATCCCCTCAGGGCCTGGCAGCACCCGCCCCTGCACTCTCCACGGAGGACACCCGGTGGGAGGCCCCGGTGCTCCCCACCGAAGCCAGGGGGCTGCTGGCCGCAGCAGGCCCGCGCGTCTCCCCAGGGGCGCCATGCCAGCTGCTAGCGCAGTGAGATGCGGCTCTCTGGAGAACGGTGGTGGTTCCTTTCAGCCGGCAGGTCCTAAAAGCTCCGTGTCCGAGACAGCGTTATCTGCTGTCTGATCGGGTCTGAGGAATGCACTGGGAAGAGGCGGACACTGCGGTTTGAGGGGACGAGAAAAAATCTCTGAGGACAAGGTTTCCAGGGAACTAACTGGTTTCCATGTTTTCATTTTCTATAAATATCATGTGCACAAACATTTCCATTTCTCCTTGGTAATTTAAGGGCAAGAATATTTACCAAAACCAAACACATAGATGGAGCACTTTTTTCATGGCAACCTGATACAGGGTTTTTGTTTCCATTTGCTTTGATCCCAGTAAGAGCTGAGATGCTGGCTGTGGTAGCAGATGCCGGTGGCAACAACCCCCCGTTATATACACCGGCGGGAAGAGGTAAACCTTCACACCTCTGCTCCCTTCTCCTGTCTGAACCAGGGTCACACCTTCTGCTGTTCCTCTCCTTCCACCTCCTCCCCACACCGCGGGGTGCCAATCCTGTCCCCCACCCATCACTGCTGGGCTGGGCAGAGCCTCTCAGCTCTGGTCCATGTCCTCACGCCACAGTCAGCACCTGCTGCTGCTCTCCACTGGAAACCCCTTCCCACACCATCAGTGGGGTGCCCAGCATTGTTTGGGATTGTGTGGCTGGTTATATATTATACAGAAAGATTACAAAAGTCCTAGTACTGTAGCGATGCACTAGGGCTGATTTATGGCGTTAGAGCACACAGGATAATCAGTAGGTAGTGGTATCTAAAATTAGAGTTGTAATTTAAGGTTTTGTTCCAACGTGAATAGGAAAAGCATGTTTTCTATGTTTAGACATCCTAAAATAATGTTTGTTTTATTATGTATCCTATTGTGACATCCTGTGGTTAAACACAGTATTACAGATACTGTCAAATCACAATTTTGACCACGATTGCATAAAATTAGACTATATGGAATTAGCAGTGGTAACTCATACCTCCCAGCTTTACATATTCAGTTTGGCCAACTATGGCCTTCCATATAGCTTTGATCATTCTCCAGAAACTTCTCCTGCATGAGAAGAAGTCAAGATGAGCCAAACATGAATATGGGATAGCGCACATTTTTGTGTGTGTGTGTGTGTTTGCCAGAAATTAGATTATCTCTGCCCTTTCTGATAAAAGGCCGACAAGTCAGTATGTTGATTGTTTACATGCTATCCCTGTGAAGGACCATAAATCCACATTTCCTCTTTAGGCAGCATTTGTATTCTAAGGATTAAGCCTCTCCAAAGAGAAACAAGAAGCACACAAGTCTTCGCACAACTGCAGTAGACCTCAAGGTTGTATAAAACATAAGCATTAACTGCACTTATGCTCACATCTCTTATGGTATTATCAAAGATGATTTTTCTCAGGTCAAGGAACACAGCGTTCTCTGCTATGCAAACTGCTCATCCTCCCACCTCAGCAAAACAGGGTTGGGCACTCACAGCTGCAGGGGATTCAGGGGACTTCAATTACCCTTCAGTTAGTCCTAAGCCAATACTCCAGCCCCAGTGTGCAGAGGAATGGCTCCAATGACACATGAAATTGAGATCTTGACCCCCTGACACCATCAGTAAGCCTTGGCATTTTTCTCACAATTAGTTGGATGAGAGGCCTACTTAGATCCCAGCTGGGGAATTAGCATCGTTCATTAACAGCACATACCCATTTCATCAACCTACAATATTTCAGGCCTCAAGCCAAGCAGCTGGATATTCACGCAGTTTTAAAGAGCCAAGATAGCTGATCAAGGTAATAGATGGAGCATATCTGTTATACCTTCATTTGTTTAAGCTTTTCAGGAAGACAGCAAGAGCAGCCTCCCTAGACAATGCTGTATTTTGGCCTCATTTTCATTACATGGGACACAAACAGCTAATGCTGCTTTCTCTGGCTTCCTTTTTACCCCAACTGCAAGAAATACCCAGGCAAATCTGGGTTTCTATCTAAGGGGCAATAAATTATGAAGAATTATACTGTGTATACCTTTAAGCACTAGCCTTCAGTGAATTGATTAGGGAGCACTTAGAAAAACTAGGTATGGCTTTATTAATCAAGTACTTCCAGTGACATTCAGAAACCAAGAGGCAGCTTATATAAAACTGGCTTCACGTTGATATGTGCTGTTTGTCAGGCAGAATGCTGCATTGTGTGCCAGTTCATTTCCAAAAGGATTGAGACATATGACAGTAGTTCGTATTTCAGACTTTCATCTTAGGAAAGTCCTAGTTCAGACTTAGCATGACCTAAGCAAAGCTGGCTGTGTTTCATACTAATTTTAGTCACCTTCCTACCACCATTCCCCAGTTTCCTCCACCAAGTATTTTTCATAGTATTACAGCTTTTATTCCAAATACAGGAAAAAATAAAGTTGACTTGGAAAGAGTAAACATTACGATACAAAAATAAGTTAATTGCATAGAAAATTTTTAAGACCTATAGACAAGATAAACTTTAAAGTAGATAGAGGTTTGATCCAGATGTGAAGACCCTCTATTATCTGCATCTGAAAGACATAAGAATGCACCGTAAGAGTTACATGACTAAAGCTTTCAGTCACAAGGAGATACACTGTGGCAGGGAAGGGCTTGGGCCATTTATTTTAATTCAGATGTTTGCTATACTTTCCTCAAGACCTATAGACAAGATAAACTTTAAAGTAGATAGAGGTTTGATCCAGATGTGAAGACCCTCTATTATCTGCATCTGAAAGACATAAGAATGCACCGTAAGAGTTACATGACTAAAGCTTTCAGTCACAAGGAGATACACTGTGGCAGGGAAGGGCTTGGGCCATTTATTTTAATTCAGATGTTTGCTATACTTTCCTCAGCATTCTGATGACATACCATTTTTCCAGAGCTTGACCAAGCCTTACACGGAGCAGGTGGAAGACCAGCCTGCTGTTGCATTAGGACCTCAAGTTGTTGTTTGTGTCTGTATAGCTATTTTAATCACTACAGTACAGAGAAGTAAGGATTTACTTGTGCTGTCAGAACCCCTCTGCCACATTCCCAACGCTGTTCAAAGGTCAGCTACCAACTCTAGAGCAGTTAGTGGTATGACAGTGGCACTCCTATACTGTTTTGACACAAAACTATTTTTAATCATCTTTGTTTCTTCTCATTCTACAGCTTATACCTGTTGTGCTGAAGACTCCCATTAGATGGCACTCCAATTGCTCCCGTTGACTTGAAGGCAGTTTGAGAGTCTCTCATCAGAGCTGCATATCTACAAGAAATACAACCAGGCTCAGCACCTCTTCTGCACACTGCCAGTAGTTTCACTCTTCCATCCAGTTTAAGTATCTACATCTGTCACACAAGTCTTAACAGTCCTATTGCACAGAACAAGGAAGGTACATCTGCCTGCAAGAGACAGATTTTTATTAAAACTAAGTTTAAACTTTGAATGGCAAGGTATTGATTTTGTTCTTTGTTACTTCAAGGTGCTGGGAAAAACTTTAGGATTCTAGTATTTGGATGCAGACCCCAAAGGGTGCTTGAGATGGCTAGTGTCTATTCACAGTTAGGAGACACTGAGAGTCATGCTATCAAGATAGGTAAGCTTGGAAGAATTTTAGGAAGCTGTCTGACAAGAAGCTTTTATCGTGGCTCACAGACTTTCAGAAATTAGTCCCAAAATACAAATAGTGGCTATTTTATCCAAGTGACCAGTAGTTTACAGAATTCCCTATTTGTCTGAGCTCCCCACCAACCCTTGATACTAGCTCTGAAATTTTACCTTGAGCTCAAGTATCATAAATACAGCTTACCCTGCCTTGGAGGTGCGATGGCTGCTCCCTTTACAGTCGTGATCCAGAGGATGCCGATGTTTTATGCAGAAGTTGCCACCACACTGTTCACAAACTACCTTCATCATCTCTTTCCTTTTGCAGCCTGGCTTTAAGCACTTGTTTGTGAAGATCTAAGTAACAGAGGACACGAAGTTAGCAATGCTTGCTTGCTTTCTGTGATCATCTTTCCCAGTAATGACCAAGCTGAAGCACGAATGCTCAAAAGCCCTCAGAATTAAGATGAAACAGAGCAAGCTTCTACACATTCTGCTCTCAGAAGACCTAACTTCACAGGCATTAGGCAGGCAGTTTAGACTTCAACAGCAGTTTCCTTACCCTCTGCTTTTGCTGTGCTGGATTGTATTTGCAGTTCTTATCCATGTGGGCTCCAACCACGACATCTGGTATTTCCCCCCTCTGTACAGGGATTGGTGCATTACAGAGCGGACACACTGGAACCTGCACACTCTAAGAACATACAACCCAATTATTTTTCTGTCCTTCCCCTTCTCTGACCCATGGGTGATAGAAGTGTATTCACAAGTGGTTTATGTTCTAATGCTTTTAAAGATATACTTCACAAAGGTAACTGCAAATCATTATCCAAAAAAGTCAGAATGCTTTGCCAAATCAATTTGTAGCAACATATTTGGTAAGTTGACTTTAAATATGCCTCTAGGCTTTCTGGAATTACAGTCTTTGAACACTTCAAAGCCCAAATATGGGCCAGAGATCAAAGTTTGGCCCTACTTATTCTATTTATTTCTTCTGTAGTTTCATATTTGCTGTCCTTCAACTTAAAGGACTGGGGCTGCAGAAAGTTTTAGGCCACAATACAATAAATAAAATATAAAGCACTCCTCTCCGGGAAGATGCAGTGTAGGTGAAAGAAGCTAGAATCTAGCAGTACTGAACTCTGAAGTGTTATGTTTCTATATGTGAAATTCAGCTGTATCCTTAACTTAAATCTTGTGGTTCTCCCATCCGCTTTTATTGAAACCACAGGTCAAGTTTCAGAGCAGCCTTTACACATGACTTAGCAATTCTGTAGTGTGCATTACTGACTCATGTATAGGAACTTACTTTCTTGTAGGCAGAGCTACACTTGTGGTCATCATATCGGATGTGATCTTTGCAGAAGACTTTCCCACAAGCATCGCATTTCAGAGGAAGGAAGTCTGGGAGAAGAATAAAAGAAGGAAAACAGATTCTCATGGAGCAGAGCTAACAGCTGTAAGAGTACTTGCAAAAGACTACAAATAAGTTCTAAAGCAACTTTTTGTCTGGTGACAATCCAATTATCTCTACAGAAAGCATATCATTCTTCATGAATATTAAAAGTAAAAAAGTAAGAGTGATAAGTTTTGCCTCTTTTTATCCAGTGTTAGACTAACATAAGCCATAAATACCTCAGGAGCTCCTTGAATGCAGAAACTTTTAGTGAGGCATTAGTCAAGAGCTAGGAGCTGAAGTACAAATCCAAAGCCCAGACTCAAAAGTATTTCTGTTCTTTAAAAAGCATCCCTTAACAGTCTAACAAGGTTGAGAACAAAACTCATTGGGCTCAACCATTACTCTCTACAAGACCTATTTAAGAGGGACTACAGAGACAGCACCGCTATCTGCTACTCACCAGAGCACCCCTGTACAGAACCTAGCTTACCGAAGAGACTCGGGGTACCGGATTTCGGCCGCCCCAGGACACAAGCTACCCACTCCTTAGGGGTGCCATCCGGACGGGTGCTGCTCGGGGGGCG